TACGGGTTGTCATCAATATTGTACACAGGTAAGATGGGGAACTAGGGATCGAGCCCTGGGATCTGCATTTGCTACTGCGAACTGGTGAATACCGTTTCAACCATGGCCGCACCCATCGGGTGTGTGTGTGTGTGCGTGTGTGTGTGCGCGCATTTGAAAGACGCCCAGAATGCTCCATCGGTCCTTGCAAAAGAAGGCAGGAGAGCAACGGAAAACCCCAGCCAGCCTGTGTGTGTGTGTATGCCCTTGTGTACGTGCAGGCGTGTGTGAATACATGGGTGTGCTGCTGGCAGCGCGAAATAGTGTGTGTGTTGCGTGGGAGTGCTGCTGGCAGCACAGACGATGGGTGCCTGTCTGCAAAGCCGTTATCGCAGAACTCAGCAAATACCAATATATCCTCGTGTATCTTTCCATGTTTCCCGGGAGATTCATTCTCATTTTGCACATTTGGTGAGTGGTGCGGTGAGGCTCTCGGGTGGAGCGCCGGCGAGGAAAGAAGGGGTGGCCAGCCCGTTTCAAGACGCTGCCTGGCGAGTGGGCGCTTCTTCACACTGCAGAGCTCCAAGCCTGCAAGTTCCATTCTCCAAAGAAAACCGGACTGAAGGATAAAACAAAATAACAGCAAAGCCCTAAAACAAAACAAAATAAAACAACAATCCCCCCTGGGACTCTTCTGACAATACAAAATAACCGCAACACCTCTAAAACCAAACAAAAGACGAACAAAAAAACAGTCGTGCCACTCCTCTGACACGATTCATCACACCACACACCGCACTTCAAGCACACACAGTTCAACAACGATCGATTGACGGCTGTGGTACACCATTTTCCAAAACCGCACTACGTTCGAAAACCGCTACATGTCGATCAGCTTGACCCAGACACAGTTCACCAAAAACAATTGTTTCGGCCAATCGCGACTGCAGATGTGAACATCCAAAGGTAAGAAGTCGAGGAAAACGAAAAATATCGGCGTGCAGTGTTACCCCTGTGGCCCACTAAGCCATAGGGTTTTGAACTTCTGATTTTGTTTGAGAAAAGACAGGCTTCTTTGGGGCACTACAAAGCAAAGAGAAGATTCGAAAACTCTCTGGGTTTGTGATAGTAAAAAATAATCCCTCAAGAGTGGGCTGAGGTCCCCCTTACTAACCTCCATGCCCCATTTGACATAATCTGCAGACTCACAAGCCTTGTATTCATCAACCAGGCTCTGAATGATCTCCCTTGACTCGTCAAATTCTGATAGATCATTATCCTGCAAGAAGGCGGGGAAATCAGACAGTTGACAGAACAAATGGTCAGCAGCAAAGATGACAAAAATCTGAAAAAGCAGCACAGGTGAGATGAGAAAGGGGTAGAGAATGAGAATGAAGGCGGAATGGCCTCAATAGCAATTTGCAGAGATGTTGGGATTTTCGTCTGCAGCAGTGCACAGAGAAGTACAGAATGCACCAAGGGAAGCATTGCCAGCCGCCTTAGCTGTGTGAGAGAGAGAGAGAGAGAGAGAGAGAGAGAGAGAGAGAGAGAGAGAGAGAGAGAGAGAGAGAGAGAGAGAGAGAGGTGGAAAAACAAGAATTACCATGGACAGTGGGAACTGCCGGTAGTAGACCAGGAAGGCCTGCTTCTTCCTGAGCTTCTCGTACTGGTTGATGGACTTGCTGAAAAGATGCCGTATGCTTGTATGGCTTGCTAACATCAGCCCGCTCACCTGCAAACACTCCACATCCACAAAGTCCAAATTTGAATACTTGCACGGCTGACCATTACAAACATAATGATGCTGCCAATCTTACAACAAATAATCAATCTTCAGGCTAGCCCCCCCTTGAACATGTGTGGGTTCTTTCATAGGAAATCCAACCGTCAGAACAAGATCATTAAACTCAAACATGTGTACCAATTGAAGTTACATCCATTGTGTGAGGACCCGGCCAAACATGGACTGAGACACACAGCTGATTTCTCAGTTTTTCTCATGGACTGAATGCCTTGCTGAGTTTTCCGCTTGCTACTAAGTTCTCTAAGTCTGTGTGTGTGCACGCTTGCTGGTCTGCATGTCTGTCTGAGTGCTTGTTGGCTTGAGTGTGTGTGTGACCAGCAAGGGCACTTGTTCGTTCGTTGGGCCCTCAGGGCCGGTACTTACCTGTGGCCGTGACATTGAGGATTGCAGCGGGGAAAACACTCAAGTGGCAGGGGAAGAGGCCCGCAATTGAAGCAGCGGGGAAACACTCAAGTAGCAGGTAGGCCAGTACCACACCCTGAAGAGGTAGATGTGCCGGGTACTCGAGGCCGAGCAGAAAAAGACAAAAGTTGGCATTTTTAGAGGCCCAGTAGTTGTAGGCTAGGTCTACGCGGATACCAGTCCAACCAGTCTGAGTCTAGGGCCTGGCAAGGAGCAAGGACACGGAGGAGGAAGAAGACCAGGAGGAAGGGGGAGCGCCAGAGGTCCTTACCTGGCTATGGTGGCAGCCATCTCCATCACCTTGGTGGGCGCTGCAGCAGGAAGGTCCCCGTTGGGGCAGAGCTACACCAAGAAGCTTCGAGGCCGAGTCGGGCATGGCGGCCTGAGCTAGAGCAGCCATAGCTGCTTTGGGTTGTCTTTTGGACATCAGGCCAAGGCCTAGTAGTCCGCCATAGCCTCGCCCTATGAGAGTGAAGAGTGAGAGGCGGCCATGGCTATGGTGGACCTCAAGTGATACCTGCTGTAGAAGAGAGATTCGGACATTGATTCTGGTTCAGCCATTCAACATTGTATTATTATTTCTCGTGTGAATAAGAGCGGAGGACATAAGGAGGAGGAGAGTGTTTGGCGAAGAAGAAGAGCATTATCATTTGTCAATGCTGGTGTACATCATCTTCTTCTCCTCTTTCTTCTTCTTCTTCTTCTTACCCTCTCTCTCCTCTAAGTTCATTCATTTCTTTTTCTAATTGGACGGCATTGTACTATCTGATGAATGTGTACTTCGAAATTGGCCAGGATCATAACATTGGTATCGGAGCGGATTCTACTCGCTGGTGAGAGTTGACTTATCTACCCGAACCCTAACCTAAGTGGTAAGGGCTAACCACTTAGGATTAGGGTTGGTCTGACGTGGGAAGTGGGGCAGCGTGGGTTAGGAAAGGTCCGGTCATGTTGGGTCGACACCGAACCTGACCAGGTTGATTGAGAGTAAGTATGTGGTGGCGAGACACATCAAGAGGACTTCATGCGACAAGTTGAGAGAGGCGACAGTGAGAGGCACTCGCACCTGGAACACTGACCTAAGGGAGACACTTGGTGACTTGAGGGCCTCCCTCAAGTAGGCGATCTTGAGGGAGGTAGCCATTCTGCATCTACGGACTGCAAGTTACTGCTTTGTTCTTCAGCATCGGAGGGGGATCCGGCGTTGCACTTTGGTGTTAGAAATGAGACCCTCCTACATGATAGGACACTAGTGTAGAGGTAGCGAATAGGGTAAGGAAGACCATATGAGGAAGGGGGGTGAGTTATACTTCATCTCAGAGTCCGGGGCACTCTGTCGTGCACCTAAGGGTTGCCCATATATGCGTGCATGGTATTCTTTGTCCTGCTGGGGTACTTCTGGGTCTCTTTTTAACTCCTCTGAAGTCTTGGTTGTATGCATTGGTGTGCGAACTACTTACTAACCTGATGGATTTAGAAATGAAAAAGCCATATCTTTCTACAGTGCTTTGTCTTTTCATCTCTGAATGGATGTAGTCTGTAGGTTCTCTCTTGAAGTTGAGATTCGTTTTTCAGTACGGTAGAGGCAGAAAGTAGGACCTTGAGGTACTCTCCTTGTTTGGGACTTGGTCGCGACCTACTTGGGACCCATTGGGACACAGTGGGACCAGGCCCAAACAAGAAGGGCCCCTTGGACCCAAATCTGTTGACTCAGTGTCGCTCTCTTTTCTGTCTGGGATACGGTACTCTTCTTTTTATTAGAGCCCTTGCTGACGAGGGGATCTTGGCTGAGATGCTTTGTCAGACAAATGACACACAATCCAATGCTTGACCTGCATCTTATACACCACTCAATTCTCCATTGCTGTATGATGTTACTTGTAGTCTGGTTTGCTGTACTTTAATGGTGCCGGTCGGATTAGGCTCAAGGGGATCTTGTACTTGGTCTGACTGGACTTGAACGCGGAATCAGAGCTCTCTTTTAAATGCATTGTATTTGTTTGATTGTTCTTGGTTGCTCTCTAGTCCAAATATTTTGCTGCTCCGGCTAGGAATTCTACCTTCTCTTCTGTACTTTCAGTTTGTTTCTTTTGCTGAAGTCCACTACATGCCCGCGGACAAGAGAGAAGAGCAAGAGAGGCCATGGCAACTGAAGGAGCTAGTGGTTCCAACATGTCACCAGCTAAGCTTTCTGATATGGTAAAGGCTCATATGGATGCAGCGGATGAGGCTGATAAACCGCTGAATGAAGCCCTCTATCAAAGAGAATTGGCTGAGGAGGAAAAGGCGGAAGAGGCAAAGCAGAAAACAGTCGTTGACGAACTTGAGGCTATTTTCAAAACAGTTCCAAACATATTTGAATCAGACCTTGAGAAAGATCTGGTTGTGTATGTACGCGCGCTTGTAAATTACCATTTGCTCAGCGAACTCCCAAGTGTGAAATCTCAACCACTCGAGGAAATGAGTCAGATGCGTACTCAAATGGCTGAAATGGCCAGAGAGCATCACGATCAGCTACAGCAAATGACAAGCATGCATCACACCCAAACCTCAAGTTCTCTTCCCAGTTCTACCTTTGCACCTCTCCATTATTCTCCTTCTTCTCAGTCTTCTTCGTTGAGTTTGGTGGTTAATCGGTCAGGACCTGTGACAGGTGCAGTTCCCACTACCGCTACAAGCGGCAGTGCAGGAAGTTTTGCGACTGCCGCAGCCCTGGGATCGGATCCAGCAATAGCTGGTCCCAGCTATAGCAGTCCATACATGGACAGGAAGGCGGTGATGATACCATCTAGGTATGCTGGTAAGGAGGACGTAGAGTCCTGGATCAGCTCCATGAGAACCAACTTTGAGGTATAGGGCACTCAAAGAGTGAACCAGTCCTTGATCCTAGGGACGAACGTCGAGCCTGTCGTAAGGGGCTTCCTTCAAGTCCAAGCCATGCAAGCTGCGTATTCCAAGATCAACCTATCAGAGTGGCTTAAAGTCACTCTGGCTACCACTCTCCATAGTAGTGCAATATAAAGATCCGCATGGTGCAGCGAGAGTAAGGATACAACTTGATGAGCTTAAGCGCGCAAGTGGCAGGGCACCATACAAATTGCAACTGCATGTCAGCAAACTTTTTGCAACGCCAGGATTGGAGCTGACTACGCAATCATGTTTGGATGTAGTTAAAGGTACGGTACCCACTCACTTGACCAATCGCCTAGGCAGAGATTTCTTCAGGTACATTCACTGGTTTTCCTTAATGAAGGATGCAGTCAATCTGGACGCAGGAGACCTCCTTACCGCAGCAAGCAACAAAAATACTTTTGTCCGTGGGCGGTTTCGTGGCAGCAATCGCCTAGCTGCGCTTGACTTGTGAAAGGGGAAGGGGGGGGCCGAAGCAGATGACCCCACTCTTGGCGACGGCGAAGAACAGGACGCTGATACAACCTGCTCTTCAACTCAAGAATCTGATATGAACAATGATGATGAGAAATTCAGTGCCTCTAAAAGACTGCCCATGGTAAGGGAAACCAAAACCGGAATCCAGTAAGGAGCTTTGTCGCACTTCCAAAGGGAGCCAAAATCCCAGCCAAACCGGAGGATGCAAGTACTAAACCTTGGTTGGACCTCCGGACCAATGAGGCTGAATGGAAGGCTAGGATGAAAAAGAGAGGTTGCTTGCGTTGCCTAAAAATAAACCATAAAGTACAAGATTGTTCTAGGCTGCAGGGAAACCACAATCGGGCGTAGAGCTGGCATCAACACCCTCTACGGCAAGGGCGAGTAAACCTGATGCAGATCAACAGTCCTCTCTTGAAGCCCCATCGTCTGCTGCTCCAAGGCTGAAGTTTGTCATGCTTTGTATGATGAGCCTTGGGGGGAGTCTGAGACGGTCGACTTAAACATTAGCGTGCTCAAGGGACAATAAAGTTTATCTTCTTCAAACTTCTCATAAACCACTGCTATCTCCGTGTGTTGATTGATTGTGCTGCTATGACTAACTTCATGTCACCACACAGGATACACAAAGTGGGCTTGGGAATAAAGCAAGTGGCTTTGCAGAATCCTTGTCGGACTCAAGTAAGCAACAAAAAGGTTGTCTCATCTACACATGCAGTCAAAGGTGTGCGCACTACCTTTGACAAGGGCAAGACAGTCACCCACGCATTGAACTTCTATGTCCTTGACAAGTGTCCCTTCGATGCAATCCTCGGCTTGGGCTGGTTGTAGTCCCAATGCGAATGGACCAAGTGGAAAGAGTCACTTTTCATAGTCAAAGATGCTAAAGGGAACGAGCTTCCTGTCCTCTTGGATGAGAAGCACGAGTCCCCAATGACTTTTTTCCATGCCATGCAGTTCTCCAAGAAGTGGCGCAAGCACAAAGAGGATGAACAATTGTATGTCGCCTTCGTTTGCCTGCTCATGTGCCATCTACTTTTGCGGCTAGTACCAATACTACTTCATCTAATGAATCTACTTCTAACACTTCTGCTTCTCTAGCTACCCCTAGTCCACATGACTCTACTCCAGATTCGGTC